ACAGGAAGAAAGACAGTAACAAAGACTCCAGTTCTAATCTTGCTTCTGCCACTTACAGCTATCTGACCTGGGGCATTAACATCTGTGAGCTACAGATCTCTAATCAAAGGAGCTTCAGAATGGCCATGAATGAGCTTCAGAATGGATCCCTCACCCCACAGTATTGAGACAATCTGGGGACAAACTGTAAAGCTGTCGTCTCAGCACCTCCAGGTGCTACATATCTAGAGAGGATGGTTAATAAGTGGAACCCAAAATGTGATTACAGAAATAGAAAAGTAGAAGAAACTATTTCATCAAGTCTCATTTAATGGAAATGTTCAAAGATTTGATCCAGTTTACCAACTTACCTAAATAAAAGAAGAAAAGAAAAACAAAGCTTACACACCGTCCATGGGGAAGGAAATAAACAGCCCACAGTCTCTGGGACTAACAGTATTTTACCAAAAGACAGAGCCTCAATAAAAACTTACAGCCACAAAGAGCTGATCCTCAGAGGCTACAAAAACAGGACTTGGTGATAAGGACCACTCAGATTCCAAGTCTGACCTGTTATTGATTAAGGATTTATCTTCTACCTATTCCCCAAAAAAGATCAGACACAGATATTCAGTAGACTCATTTAAATAAGAATATGAGAATCAGAGGAGTATAATGAAGATGAGGCAGTAGCTGGGATCTGCTGCAACCGAAAATAAAATTCAGTTCTGGGCAACCAGCTTAAGGCAAAAAAGCAAACTTGCAGATGATCATTAGGCAGAGGGAGACTCGTGATCAACCAGGAAAGGCAAATTTCTTAGAACTAATCTTGAAATCTTATGATCAGAATCTGATTCTGAGGATTTATGCTTCTTATTCCCTATCCCTTCTTTAACTCCTAAGTTAAGCTTTGGTGATTTTCCTTCTCACAACTTTGTCAATTACAAACTGCATGACCCAGAGTCAATGCTTCACCTCTCTAAATCTCAATTTTCTCAACCCTAAATAGGGTTAGCATATATTCTCTATATGCTAACCCTATTTGAGAAAGAAAATGAAGGACACAGCATCATTCTCCAACATTAACTGGATGCTTACTAAGCATCAAAAGCTTCATGTACATTATCACACTGAAAGCTCCCAAAACTATATAAAGCAAATCCATTAATTTTTATTTTATAGATAAACTCTGTGAAATTCTAAGAGGCAAAGACAGTTGCCACTTTCACTCAGGTAAAAAGCAGAAGAGGTGAAACTCAATTTCATGTTTATGTGACGCCAAGGCATAATTTAACCAGTATACTTTTCTGCTTCCCTGTATATGTCAAGTACCTAAAAGGTCTTGGCAGAGTGTAGGTGCTCAACATATTAGTTTCGTGCCTCGCTCATTTCTCTTCTTCTAAAATTACATATAAACAGAAATTAAGTTTATAAAATAAGATTATTGGGCTGGGACTTAGCTCAGTGCTAGAGCATTTTCCTAGCATGTGTGAGGCACTGAGTTCGATCTTCAGTACCACATAAAAATAGATAAAATGAAGAAGGTATTCTGTCCATCCACAACTAAAAAAAATTTAAAAATTCAAAAAATCTTATTAGCATCTTATAGTTCGGTAGTTTAAAGAAATCATACTACTTTATTTTCTCTATCGATCTCTAACCATCATTGTGCACTATATCAACTACTTCACAAATAAGGAACTAAAAGGCAGCAAGCTGCTAGGTGATGTGGCCAGAGACATGTGGAAGTCACTGCCAAAACCTAATAAAAACCTCGGTCCTCTTACTTCTAAAATCAACTTTTTCCCCTCACATGTCACAGCCACTATAATAAAGAACAGATCATTCATTTTTTTATCTGGAAAAGTACCAAACACATAATTCAGTATGGGGCCTCATGACCCTACCACCTTGTCAAAGGGAACAAAGTATATAAAAAATGAGGTTTGCAGGAGCAGACGGTTTTGGTCCATCAACTTTCTCTTGGATTACACCCATTAACCAAAATAAAATAATGTAAAAAATAATGTAACAGATCCCCATGTCTTTGGAAATTCACATTAAACTCACTGATCCTTCAAACTTATGTACAACCCACGAAGGGCAATTGTTAACTCCTTTGGGGCTGCAAAGGTACATTATGTCAACCCAGTCTTTGAAAGAAAAATACGACATGTGATTGAGCTACCCTAAAAGAATCCAAGTCAGCAATGAATATCTGGCAACACAAATTCATAGCATCACAGAAGGGAACTGGCAGAACTGAGAAAGACCCTTTCACATGGTATATGAGGAAACCGAGTCTCAGGGAAGTAAAGTGACTTGTCCAAGATTTCACAGACAGTAGAATAAGAACTAGAAAATTAAACTGATGACTACAATGTACATCACTTGTAAATCTTGGGTAATCCAAGAATACCCTTAGAACTTTCCAGAATTACTCATCCACATAGAGAGTAAAAGAGAAACTCAGGATTCAAATCCTGACTGCCATTTATTGGCCATATGATCTTAGATAGTCCTTTAGTTTTTCTGAGCTTCAGTTTTGTCTATAAACTGGGTCACAGTAAGTTTCACAAGTAAGCTGGAGGTAATATAAACGAGAGGCCTGGCACACAACGTGTGAGAAGGAGAACATCAAGTTCGTATATTCCCAGCAGAGTTAGGTACCCACTCTATGAAGGCTCACTGAACAAATCACCAAGAAAACAGGTATTGGACTTGAAACAGGTCAATATATAGCTTTTAAATACCAGGTTATATTGCTTTCAATTTGCATGATTTCAAAGCTGAGTGTTGATTCAGCCTTATAGAGTACTGAGAATATAAGAAAACAAAATAGCCATTTTCTGGCCATAACACATGAAAGTTCAGCAGGAACGTTTCTGGTCTCAACACTGGGATTAATTCTTGTTGCTATAATGAGGCTTTGGAATTACCTAAAATTAGACTTAGGTCTCAGCTCTAGTATGAGCTAAATGGCTTCAAAGATTACCACTTTACCTCTCTGAGCCTAAATTTCCATAGCTGGAGGAAAAAAACCTACTTTACAGGAATTATATGATAAATGAGGCAAAATACCATATTTCACTGCATAATTGTTGCAGGTTTGTTTTATGCCCATTTTTTTTTTGCAAAAAAGTAGGATGTGACCATTATGTGAAGCTTTAAAAAAAAATTGTGCCGATATTACTTTAAAATCCTTTAAACTGTCTTTGATGAAAGATTAAGATGCACAGAACACTTGTGAATATATGCTAACACAGTGGCGACAATTATGCAGTGAAATATATAAAAGAACACAGGATGATGTGTAGCTCAGAAGGAAATCTGACTAGAGTTACATTTCATTTCCCTTTTAGTTCTCTGGAAGCTTCATTCACTCATTTGCTTTACATTCATTCAAATGTCACTTCCTTCCCAACCCTCTCCATCTATAACAAAGCCCCTTAATAGATCTTATTACCTTCTCTGTTTTTCTTCATGGTCCTAATGATTACTTGACATTACATTATGCATTTATTTTTCTGTGCATTGTGCCTATTCAACCATCAGGTAAGCAGGAACCTTTTGTTTCAACAACTAGGAAAGTTCCTAGCATGAAGTTAGAGCTTAAAAAAATACTGTTGAATTACTGAACAAATAATTTAATAAGTATGTGAGGCACCATGTAGAAAGGGCACTTAAATCTGCTATGGAATCTGACACTATATGTCACCTGGACTGTTGCAGCTGCCTCTAACTGTTCTGTCTTACTGTCCCTTACATTCCATTTGTTATCCAGTAGCCAGACAGACCCTCACAAATCCACATCAGATCAATCCTTTGATTCAATCCCTCCAGTGGCTTTCCATCACAACTGGAATAAAGTCCTAACTCCGTTCCATAGCCAATCAAGCCTAGACCATCAGCTCTCCCGACTAGTCAACCTCTTCTCTTAACACTCTCCGGAGTATCAGATATACTAGCTTTTCTCTTTCTTGAATATGCCAAGATATTGTCTTAAATTTTTTTTTTTTTAGTTGTAGATGAACACAATACCTTTATTTTATTTATTTATTTTTATATGGTGCTGAGGATCAAATCCAGTGCCTCACATGTGCTAGGCAAGTGCTCTACCACTGAGCCACAACCCCAACCACTTTTTTAATTTATAAATAAACATACATTTTTATTCATTTAAAACTTTAAGTACTATATATTTGTAATTAACAATATTCTGTTCTTATATCTAAAATTCTTCAACTAGCAAAGACAATGTAAAAATAGCTCTTCGAGGAATATGAATTAGAGATTATAAGTGTCAAGGCCTTTAAGGCCTTTGTGCTTGCTGTTCACTCTGTCTGGAAGGCTTTTTCCCTAGGCTGATGGTGTTCTTCCTCAACATTTAGCTCTCAGCAGAAATGTTACCTCCTACCCAGCCATGGTGGCACATGTCTGTAATCCCAGCAACTCAGGAGGTTGAGGGAGGAGGACTGTAAGTTCAAGGCCAGCCTTGGTAACTTAGTAAGACCCTAAGCAACTTAGTGAAACCCTGTCTCAAAAAATAAAAAAGGCTGGGGATGTGGCTCAGTGGTTAAGTACCCCGGGTTCAATCCCCAGTTACCGCCCCGCCACCAAAAAAAAAAGGAGGTTACCTCCTTCTAGAGTCCTCCCAGGTGAAAGCTGCCCCAACCACTATCACCCTCATCAAGTCACTCTCTGTTGGATACCAACAGCATTTCATCACCTGGAAATGACTTTATCTATTTATTTGTCCTAAGTTTCTAACCAGAATTTAAACTACATGGGGACAAATATTTCTCAAGCTTACTGACTGCTTCACACTCAAGCATCTAGCACTAAATAAGCACTCAAAAAATAATTCTGAATCAGTAAAGTGGATCTGAAAAGATGTTTGCTAGGATGAAAGGTGTAGGTAAGGTATGCTATTGGCCTAACAGTATAGTAGGGCACTGGTTTCCTTCTAAGGGATGATCACCCCATTTCATTGAATTTCACTGAATTTCAGCCACACTTACATGGGAATGGGTACCCGAATTAGTGTCCCTTCCAATTCTGGGTTCAGATTCATTCCACTTTCTCTTATAGCCTTGATAGCTGCAGCTGTACACTGAAAACCAGATCAAAAGGTAAACAGAATTAGTAAATAATTATTACCAGATGCAAGCCCTCTGCCGATAACTGGCAACCCATCTTGGCAGAACATGGAAACATTTAGTTCTGTTACCAGTAAGATCAGGAAGTTACATTGGTGTAGAGTGCTTTGATCAAGCTGAATAGCAAACTATGTCCACTCCTGGTACCAGTGTACTGTGGAAGGAAAAAAAGAAAGAGAAGAAAAAAATAAAAGGAAAACACAGCTCTGCTTCTTTGAAAAGATTTCAATGGTTTGAGGCAACACAGATCAAAACCACAATAAATCCTCAAGGGAGGAGGGCTGGTCTGTGCAAAGATTGGTGTAAAGACAGATGAAAGATTTCATACGTTAAAATTCCAGTTGACATTTTACACTCAAAATATACCAGTGCCGATTTGGAAGGGGTAAATAAATTTAACTCATTCGCATCTACACTCATACCAAATTTATTCATGTTTTGAATGACAATGAATCTTAGCTAGTGTGTGCTCCAGAAAAGGTAGTATGGTACAATCACTGAAATAATGAGCTCTGGTGTCAGAAAGATCTTAGTTCAATATCCCCAACCTCTACCCACTCTGATAACCATATGACCCTGAGCAATAAGCTTACCCTCTTTGAGTTGTCATTTCATAATCTGAGACAATACGACATATAAACCTCAGAGTAGTTAGATAACATGAGCAATGCATGTTGCTCTGTGCCTGATACAAAGTAACACCCACTTAAGGGCAGATATTATATAAATGTTATATACACTTATTAAAAATGCATTAAGCTGGGCATGATTGTTTATGCCTATAATCTCAGCTACTTGCGAAGCGGTGATAGGATAATGGCAAGTTTAAAGCCAGAGTGGGCAACTCATCAAGACCCCATCTCAAAATATAAAATAAAAAGGGCTGAGATGTGGTTCAGAAGCAAGTTCTAGGGGGGGAAAAATCCATAAAACCCCCAAACAAGGCTGAGTTAATGCCATCATCTAGCTAATGCACACCCCCTTCTCCACATCTTTTAGGGGCTTCTTCAGGTTTGCCCTGAAGTGCTAGTTGGCATACTAGATACTGATTTCCTGAAGTGCCCCACCTCATACTCAAACATTATAACTATACCTGGTATTCAATTCTAAAGGATAACAAGAAAACAGTGTAAGAGAGAGATACTGCCTTTGGCATGTCAATGTGGAATTCATAAAAACAAAGTGTCTGACATTTTCAAAAAAATTTTAGGTTTGATGAGAGCCAATCCACATCATTGGGTTTACAGGTTAATTCTTGACTTTTGAGTTCCTTCCTAGACTTTGTGGTTTAAACGAATACTTTATTTTTTTAGGTGGTTTGTTGTTTTCATTTTGGAAGATATGCCTCTTAAAAAGCTCACCCATTTCATTTTTGTTGTTGCTACTGAGAAGAGGTCTTGCTATATTGCCCATGCTATTCTCAAACTCAAGTGATCCTCCTGCCTCAGCCTCCCAAGTAGCTGGGACTATAGGCAAATGCCTGGTTTCATTTCATTTTTATTTTATGTATGTATGTATGTTCATTCCGCAGTGACAGGAATTGAACCCAGGGCTTTGTGTACACTAGGCAAGCACTCTATCAGAGCTACACCCCCAGTCTTTCATTTAATTTTTAAATGACCTTAATTTGACACTATACAGTTATTACCACAAGATCAAGAAGACAAACCAGAACTTCCACATATAAATGGATGAATTATCCCCTAAGGAGGCTGTATATGGAGTCTAAGTGTATACAATGTAAGTATACAAAGAATCTAAGTGTGGCCACTGATTAAAACAGTTAATTCCTAAAATGATGCCTTTAACCACAGATAATAATAGTTGGAAGGGAATCTCTGACCTAACCAAGCACAACCTGTTCATTATGTATTCAGAGACCTGCAAGGTATGGTCAAATCCCTAAGCACAGACATGGTCTTCCCTGAGAGTCCAAGAAAGATGGAAGACCCGATCTATCATACTTCTAGCTACTGGCAGAGTTAAGAGGAGACTAAACAGAGGTTCTTCCAATGATATTACTTTGTCTATTTTTTTTTTCCAGATCCCCAAGCTCAATGTATGCAATAATATGACACAGGAAGGTAAATATAAGTTAACTGGGCAAAGAAATGAAGTTAATTTTCCTTTGCAAGAGAACAGCTATCTCCCTTACTAAAATTAAATATTTCTAAAGTTAATAAAGAATCTCCACATTAAAGGGGGAATATCCTGATCTCAAATCTCCCATTCTTCTTCCGCAGCTTCTCAGTGCACGACATAATCTACTGTTGTGACATCCCAGCATCTCCCCCTTCTCAGAGCCTGGCCCAAGTAACTCTATACAAACCTCCCCCTGTAGTATAAGAGCACCCGCTACTAACACCAAGATAGGTAGGAACTATGCCTTGATATTTACATTTTTCAGTATAAAGCACAATGCCAGGTACCTGTGCCCAGTAAAAGCTGCTGAATGAATACATTAATGATCTGGTTAAATCTATTTTTAAAACTTATCTCCTTACTTTATTTAATGTACACATCCCCTGAAAACCTCATTTTATACTTTAGCTTCTTCTGTGTCTTTCCATATGAGAAAAAAATGCTACTCATTGAGGTCATTTTACAAAGAAACCTACTGAAAAAGGAATTCTTTTTTTTTTTTTTTGGAATTCTTCAAGTATATTCTAGATTATATATTTTATATTTTGCATTGACATAGAATGCAGAATCTCAGGGAATTAAGAGTCATTTTCCCAGCATGACGTTTGAACTACCCATGGTTTAAAGTAAAAAGGCATACATTTTTATAGAATTTTCACCTCTTATCTTTCATCCCCTCACTAAAGGAAGATGCAGTACTCCAAGGCACACTGGTTGCTCTCAAATGGCAACACTAATCAACTGGCTATGGCAGCTTGGAGTATGATGTCAACAAACATCAGGAAAAGTACAGTGATCAGTTAGCAAGGTCTGTCATCACTAATCTTAAGCTTATCTATACTACAGGACAAAAGATGACAAAACTTCTATAGACAGGTGAACAAATCCTTGAGAAGCTGGACTCAAGTCAACTGTTAGTGCCATGGCAATTACTGGCCTTCCATCTTCTTTATATCCCAATAGGTCCCTAGAATGTTAGGTATATGAAAATATAAACTCAAGTCTGTCTTAATCATCAATGAATTCCCAGCACCTCTAATCACATATATGGACTCCAAAAATATGCACTGAATTGAGTGAATGAATGAATCTTGAAAGGAGCACAGACTTTCATGTCAAACACAGCTATATTCAAATACTGGCCTATCACAACGGTGTAAAACTAGGGGAGATATTTTACTTCTCTGAGCCTGCATTTCCTCAACTATAAAATGACATAATACTAATTTTACTGTTCCTCATGTGAAACTAAACATGAGAATGTGGTTGGCAACACAGGAGACACCCAATGCACACTGGCTCTCTTTTCTCCATAAGAGTAATAATGGAGCCTGCAGAAGTTTTTCTATTATTTCTATTAGTTCAAATACACACTGGGAAATGGGAAATGACTCTTACTTTTTTGATATTTTGCATTATTATTTTTCTGTTGTTTTATTTGAATGATGCTGTAGTTTTTATTTACTTCTTTCCTTTCCCATCATTAACTCCAGTTTCAAGCAAGTTTATGGAAGGGAGGAGCCATGTGTATCATTTATCAAGCTGGACACGTGTTAAACAAATGCAACACAGTTTTCTGTCTTCAATGCATTTGAAAAGATTACACATGTAAATCTGCACCATGTCACCACAGGATGACACAGAAACACTCAGGTTTGAAAAAAAAGCCAACTACATGTGAAGTAGAAAGAAATTATATAAACACAGAGAGGATTAGCTCAGCATTTTGAAGCTATGAACCTGAGTACTCTACAGACAGCTTCTACGCTGGAGGAAGGAAATGTTTAGTTAGAGCTATTTGTTTAATATATACACCAGATGAGATAAAGGAATTCAAAAGACAATGCAACTTATACTTCCTCACTTTGTCCCTATAAATGAATATTTCTACTGATCTGCTTGTTAAGCTTTTTTTCAAAACCCAGGGAATTTGAACTTAGGAGAATTGCAAAGATGCTTTGGTTGAAAAATGAAGATATACTTCAACTTCCTAAGAAAAAATTAAGCTGTTAATATCTCTTTCTGCCTCATAAGATGCTCTCGTGGCCAATCCAGTGCTTCTTCTGTCAATGCCATTTGCTATTTAAAAACAGAAGTGGCTGGCCCTGTAAAACAATCTGCCTGATGAGGTCTTCAAGCTGTGTAATTAGGAGGCTATTCCCTAAATTGTTCTGCAGTGCCTATGGGATTAGATGAACAAGGCAGAGAGGCACAGTGGTTCGGAGGGGGCCAGTAAGGACAAAGAGTTGACAATTTTCTTTTTGCCCACTTCTCTGCTCCTTAGAAACACCAGGAATAAGATTTTCCCTTCCATCAGCCTAATAGTATTCATCCACTCAAGGAAAGTTTACTGAGCACTTATTATGTGCCAAGCACTGTGTTTGGTGCTGGACACAATGAATATGTTAGATATGATTCCTACATTCCAAGCTTACAATCTCATAAAAGTGCTATGGGGAATTTGGGGGATAAGCATGTAAATATATGTATGAGCTTTTTTTTTTTTTTTGTACCAAGGATTAAACCCAGGGGAATTTAACCACTGAGCCACATCCCCAGCCCTTTGCTTTTTATGTTTTATTTTGAGACAGGGCTCACTAAGTTGCTGAGGCTGAATTTGAACCTGTGACCCTCCTGCCTCAGCCTCCTGAGCTTCTGGGATTACAGGCATGTGCCACTGCACTTAGTTATGTATAACTATTAATAGTGATATCTGCAATAAAAACAACAATAACAATAACAACAACAAAATGTGCTGTATAAGAGAGTTAAATGTGAAAGAACAATTTAGATTGCACAGATTAGGAAAGTCTTTCCTATAAAAGTGACATTAGTGTTATTACTAATGTCTATTCCAACAGAGACAGAGAGGGACCCTTTCAGCAAGGATATCTTACCTCTGGGAAGCTGGCCATATTCACCAAAATCAACTGTGGCGACTTCATGGAGATCTGGCTGATCTGGTTTAAAGCAAGCTTCCCATCAGCAGTTACCACAGTAATATGATCAAGGGATCCTAAAAGAAAAATTATAGGGTTTTAGAATTCTGCAGAACTTTAGAAACTCCACATCTAATTCTCTATCTAATCCAGATTCAATAAACATTTAGGGATCCATTATCAGTGTGACTCATAGAAGCAGCAGTGTCATGTGATATAAAGCTTGAAATGATACAATTTGGTTAAATTCCTTTCTGGCAACTAGGGGGCCAACCATTCTGGTTCACCTGAACCCCAGGGGTTTCTTGCAACACAGAACTTTCAGAACTAAAACCACTAAGAACTGTTTCCCTTCCAGCAACTATGCCATTTAATAGCTATAAAACCTCTGGCAAATAAGGGAAAAATGAAATTATAGCATTTGCAGGAAAATGGGTAGAACTAGAGACCATCATGTTAAGCGAAATAAGTCAAACTCAAAAAGTCAAGGGTCATATGTTTTCTCTCATGTGCAGAAGCTGGAGAGGAAAAAGGAAAACAAAAGTCGAGGTACTCTCCTAAAAATCAAAATAAGACCAATAGAGGAAAGGAGCCAAGAAGTTGGGGGAGGGTGAGATAAGTGCTGGGGAGTAATTTGATCAAATTATATTGTTACATTGTTTCTACAAATGAATATGTAACAACAAATCCCATCAATACGTACAACTATAATGTACCAATACAAAAGATTTTTAAAAATCCTTGGCAGGTCACTAATTTTATCTGCACCGTGGTTTCCAGCTCAGTTTAAAAGAACAAAAAAACACCTTACAGAATTAAAGTGAGTACTGTAGCTAATGGATTGTAGCTAAATATGTACAACAAAGTATCTAATAAATACCCAAGAATTAGCATTAAAAAGGTTACAGGTTACCCTGTAACATTGTATTGCTACCTCACCTTTTCAGATGAGAAAATGGAGATTTGAGAAGGATAAATGGACCAACAGAACAAAAGGAAAAAACAATCAAGAACCAAGACTCACTCGGTTGTGCTTAATTTTGATTTTGATCAAGGTTCTTATAAAAGTAGAACTCAAATCTGGGTGTGAATCAGAATCACCAGAGTCTTTTAATTTAGATTCCTTGACCCTACCCCAGAGATCCTGATTATGCAGAGACTTGGGAATTTGTGATTTAGGGGGAGTCTGAATTTTTTAACTTCACCACATGATTCTGACACACAGCCAGGTTTACAACCATTCCCTTATGCCACTCCTAATATTGGTGCCCATATCCCCTTTAGAAGCAAGCCTATTTGAAAATAAACAAACAAAAACTCTATTAATACTTCATTATTATCCTGGATCTGATCTTTATCTCCCTCTAAATTCTGGAAAACTCTGGGCAAAATTTCCAGAAATCCAAGAAGGCAAGCAATAAAGTAAGCTACAGAGAAGACATTATTCACACTTACTGGCTTCCCATGCAAATGATAATGAGAAGAAAACCCTTACCATTCACAGTAGGAACCACTCATGGGTGGCTCATTCAACATAAGGGGAGTTGGGAGAACAAGTCTTAAATAAACTGGAGTTGTCCTGGTAATATACTGTTAGAATGCAGTACAATACTATGGCCCAAAGATGTGATCTGAAGTACTCAGTTGTATTCAATATCATCACAAGATAGAAGGTTGTTGATCTTAAGAGCTTCAATCAGGAAAATCCAGAAGGCATAAATGGTAAAGTTGCCATGATTCTAAAGACCAAAGACCTAAGTTCAAATACCAACTCTGCCACTTCAAGATGGTGATACCTTGGGCAGATCCCTTCAACTTTATGTGCTTCTGTTTCTTTATCTCTAAATGGGACATGAAAAATTGTATTTATAGGGTTTTTTGAGTTTTGTTTGTTTGTTTGGTTGGTTGGTTGGGTTTTTTTGGTACTAGGGAAATAATCCAGGGGCACTTTACCACTGAACTACATCCCCAGCCCTTTTCTTTATGTTTTATTTTAAGACAGGGTCTTGCTAAGTTGCTTAAGGCCTTGCTAAGTTGCTGAGGCTGGCCTCCAACTTGCAATCCTCTTGCCTCAGCCTCTGAGTCACTGGGATTACAGGCATGCGCCACCACACCCAGCTGCCATTTATAGGCTTTTTAATGAGGATTCAAGAGTATATGAAAAGCCTTTGTAACTATGTCCCAATGATGTTAACTATTATTCCTATTGACATTTTTCTATATTTGAAACAAACTGACCTACTTAAAATTCCTCTAAAATACTTTTCTCACCTCAGGACCCTTGCATATTTTTCTTCTACTGCTCAAATACCTTCCTTCCTTCCTTTCTGCTCAGATAACTCCTGATCATTCATTAACAGTCAGCTATACTAGCAGCTAATAACAGAAATCTTTTCCGACCTCAGCTAGATTACAAACCCCTAATATAAGGCCCTAAGAATCCTGCATACATTTCTATAAATAATAATGATAACTTGAACTTACTGAATACTCCTATGTGCAAACATATCATGCTAAATGCTTTGCATAATTTACTGGCTTTCATTATAACAATAATCCTATAATACAGTTATTATTACTTCCACCATTTTATAGATGAAGAAATATAAGACATAGAGAGTAGCTTTCTCAAGGTTATGACAGCTCTTAGTAATGGAGCCTAAATTCAACTCAAGTCTGACCATCTCCAAAGTCATAATCCTCACCACTCTGTATGGCTCTGCTGTATGGTTTTAAATCTTCTGCTTAACTTGTCTATTCCTTCAAGTTAGACTTTGAAAGGCAGAAACAATGTTTCTTTTCTCTAATCTCCAAATCACCTATTAAACAGCAAACAGCCAGACATGGTGGTGCATGCCTGTAATCCCAGTGACTGAGGAGGCTGAAGCAGGAGGATCACAAGTTCAAGGCCAGACTCAGCAACTTAGCAAGGTCCTCGGCAACTCAATGAGACCCTGTCTCAAAATAAAAAATAAAAATGGCTGGAGATGTATCTAAGTGCCAAAGTGCCTCTGGGATTCAATCCCTAATACCAAAAAAAAGAAAAAGAAATTTTAAATAAGCAGCAGAGAATAAGTGGTCAATAACGCTACCATTAGTAAATGGATGGATGGAAGAAGGGACAGATGAAAGGAAAAGAGGAAAAGAACAAACAAAACAACCATATCTCAGACAACTGTTAAAAGGTGTCACTATCTTGAAGATAAAAATTTAGACATGAAAGTGTAAGAAGAAAAGAATCTGCTGGTTTAGACAGCAATGAAAGATGATACAGAGAATCTGGAAAAAAAAGACTGCCTAGGTTTTAACCTGTTTCACCCAGTCTCTTTACGGCTCCAAGTTCTACCCAGAATGTCACACAAACATAACCCTAAAGAAAAAGAAGCAAAGAGGAAATACCAATGGGAGGCCTTTTGAAAATGGATCTTAACTCAGCCTTCCTGATTTGCCATAAGATCCTCTGCCACAGAAGTCCCAACATGGGCATTTAGGCATGCAATTGTGGTGGTTCCCATTCCCTAAATCTGTATCGACATAATGCATCAAATCCTGTTCCCTCAATCCGTCCCCAGTGAGAATCTCCCTCAGCCTCATTCCTGCCCCTCATTTTCTCAGAGGTTAACATTTAACAAATTACACTCCCAACCTCTTTCCAGGCCCATCATCTTTTTAAGTTCAACAAGAGTGGAGCTTGCTGGCTAATTTTAAGTATCACATTTCTCCCTGAGCTCCTCTCAAACTGTTCTCTGGTTTCGACTGCAGAATGTTAACAGGCCAGAAAGCACAAGGGAGACACAGCACTTTATCAGCTTCATACCTAAAATAATAAGCAAGTTTAAAATAAACAGTTGGGAGAGAGTGGACGGCACGCTCTACTGTCAGCAAAGGCAGAAATGCACCATTCCAAAGGTTGACAAATGACGGGAATGGTCTTCCACTTTCACACTGGATCTCATCTCTGAACTCCGTATGTTTCTGATAGTGTTTATAAATGAAGCTGTGTATTTTTCACTAGGCTTCCTTTAGAATTAGTTCATGAAATACTTTCTAGCTTCCTTATGAACTTCTCCAATCAAGATGTGAGTGGGAGCGGCCCCAGCTCCATAGATACCTTTAGAGGGGGTCCCAGGCTTAACTATAGGATGATGACAATTTGCAAAAGGCCAATTTAACAGCAATTGGATTTTTCCTGCCTGCTTGCACCATTAGCTGACAACTCACTTCTCTATCACATCTGCAAACAGTTCCCCTAGACAGTTCTGACATTTCCCACTTAGAAAAGCCACTTTCAGGAAGTTATTAACCCAAACGGAATCTTCCTGGTCAAGCTCAGGGGTATAGAAAAGCCTCAGGTGGGCAGGTTTGCAGCCATTTGGTTCCCAATAAGGGATAAGAACTACCAAATAGGACAAAGTGGAAAAATCAGACAAAAGGTATCAGATCATGAGTCTAAATACCTAGATGTGTTTATACTGTAATCACAATAAAACTCCCTGTTTTATTAAAAGTAAATTCCATTAGAACAAAGACCATGACTATTTGTTCACTACTGTGCATTAGCACAAAGCCTCATTCACAGTAGAAAAATATTTGCTGAATGGATAAAAAAAAATGTAGTGTTAACAATGTGTAAGCACTGTATCTATTTTAATACCCGCCTCAACACTATAAGGTAAGAATCAGACAAGGAAATTGAGGGTCTGAAAAGTAAACTAATATTAGTAAACTAATAGTAAACTAATTGGTGGGTAATCAGTGTCAAAAGTGGGACTAAAACTCAGCTCAGCCAAAGCCATGCTCCCCCACCGTTAGCCTGCAACATACACAAAGCAATGCTCAGATACTAACCTGGTGAGGTCCTTATATTGAGAGTCTTATTGAAATTATCCTTAAGTGCTTCTATCACAGATTTCATTTCTTCATCCACCTCTTCCAAGTTTATTATATCCTCAACCAAGGTTATGTTAATATTCACTCTGGTTTGGGACAGTCCTTTTCCTTTAGCTAGAAAGTCAACATTCAGTAAAAAAAAAAAAAAAAACAGCAGCATAAACAAACAATAAGAAACTGATTTATAAAAGTGCCTACTGTGTGCAGGGCAAAATGTCAAGTGCTATAAAATTATAAAATATTACCTTGGCCCTAAAAAAGAGAGCCTCTATTTATTAAATATCACTATGTACCCAGCACTGTGCTAAACATTTTTGTAGACATTAAAGAGGGCACAGACTTTATAATTAGAAAGTTCAGGTTAAAATCCCGGCTGTAGTCTATGGCCATATCACTCTGAATGTGCCTGACCTTGTCATAAAATCCTGGTTATAACACAGACTAGCTTTTGACACTACACAAGTTATTCAATCTTCTTCAGTATCAGATTCTCTACTTGTAAAACAGAGAAATATTAATACCTGTGTTGTAAAATTGCTACAAGAATATAAATTAAGTCATTCAAATACCTAAAACAGTACTACCCACACCACAGGAAATCCATAAGTAATCCATTCCTTATTTTTCAGAAAAATAAACAGAAGATGAGAGAGGTAAAGTGACTTGCCTAATGTCACCGGTCAGGAAATGATAAAGTCAAGATTTGGTCCCCAAACTGCCTAATTTTAAATCCATGAACTTTGCATTAGACCATCTCTACAAAATCTAATTGGAGAGAGAGGAAATATGTTAACTCATTTAAAAATGAATATTAAGACAAGGTTACACAGAACATTAGTTGGCTGGTACAAAGAAGAGTAGTTTAGAGACATTAAATGTTACCAATGATAAGTGAAAATGGCTTATATTTTAGAAAATCAACTGCTCTGGAAGCTGAGTAAAATTTTATTTTGTGTCTAAACCATCATAGTGATTTTCCATATGCATTTTATAATGTTATGTGACACAAATATTCTTGTATTTTCTATGGGCCCAAGAAAGGATAAAAAGAGCAAAAAACATTTAAATAATACCTTTGATAATGAATATTATACTATCATTAAATATCTGACAAACTTTTTAGTCACTCAACAAATTTTATTGAGTATCTCCAGTGAGCTCAATCCTGTGCTACTTCTATAGCATATTCTAATTTCCAATACAATTGAGTACATTCTTCTATTTGATATTCAAAATAGCTCTCTGAGGTAGGAAGAATAGAGATGATTATTGTGTCCAGTGTACAGATGAGAATCGAAGGCAAAAGTCATTTAAATCTCTTCCCCAAAGTAACCAAGCAGTAAACAGCACAATGATTTTTCAAAAAACATTTATTCATTTACTCATGTCACCATCATGCTTGAAACACTATTACTCTTGAGTTAATAGGCTAATAGCTAAGAATTTTTTAGAACTGCTGAAAGATACTGATGTTTAAATTCAGAAATGCAAGTTCCAAACAGGAACTTAATAATAAAAGTAAACCTATACCTAGACATCTTATGATTGTAGAAAACCAAGGACAGAAATATTGAAAAGGCCAGAGAAAAGACAAATAATCCATAAGGGATCAAAATTTAGAATACTTTCTAAGAATAACAGCAGGAGCCAGACACAATGGAAATAATATCTTCAACCTTTTTTTTTTTTTTTAAATATCTTTTTTTCCCTTGGTGCTTGGGATAAAGCCTAGGGCCCTGTGCACAACTTCTGACACTTTTTTTTTAATGTTGCTGGCAATCAAACTCAAGGCATACATGCCAGGCAAGTACTCTACCACTGAGCCACATCCCTAGCCACAACTTAAGACTCTTTAAACGAAGTATCCAGTTAAAAATTTAAAGAGATGTCCATTAATATTAAAATGGATAAACAGTGGTATTTAGGAATGAAATGCCATGCAGCCACGAGAGAGAATGCTCTACAACTTCAAAGAATTTGAAAAGAGACCAGATAAAAAAAAAGTTCAGACTTACAATACAGAAGCCATATACAAAAAAAATACACTGAACAGTACAAAACAAACCTATGCCATTAGAAATCACAATGATAATTAATTGCAAGGGGTAAAAGGTGGTACTTACTAGATGAGAACACAGAGGGGTCTTTGACGTGCTAAGAATGTTCTATTCTTTAATTTGGGTGCTGGTTTCACATGTGATTTCATTGTGTGAAAATTATCAAGAGAAATATAAAATGGAAATTATAAAATGCACAGAAATGAGCATAATAAAAATACTGTCAACCAAAAACCTGTTGGAAGTACTCAAAGTTGTGTTTAAATAGAAACTTATAGGATTGAGTTCCTATAAGAAAAGAATAGCTGGGCAGGGTGGGCAAGATTTGGGAAGCTAAGGCAAGAAGAGCACAAGTCTGAGGCCAACCTGAGTAATTTAGCAAGACCCTAAGCAAATTAGCAAGACCCTGTCTCAAAATAATAAAATAAAGAGAACTGGGGATGCAGCTTAATGGTAAAGCAACCCTGAGCTAAATCCCCAGGAGCATAAATAAATAAAGAATAAAAAGAAAAGAGAGATGCATTCCCCTATTTATATCGTGAGGCTAATATACTCTTAATGTTAAAAACAGACAACAGTAATAAAGAAAACTTTTATGCCCATCAATATTAGAAAAGTTACATTAAGGCTAATCTCACATAGAAATATAAACTAAAAAATCCTGATACTTAATCCTAAATATAAACTTAATAAATCCAGAAACATATATGCAGATTATATATCAAGAAATGTACATGCAAATTATGTATCAAGAACAAGTAAGGTGGGCTGGGGATGTGGCTCAAGCGGTAGCGCGCTCACCTGGCATGCGTGCGGCCCAGGTTTGATCCTCAGGACCACATACAAACAAAGATGTTGTGTCCACCAAAAACTAAAAATATAAATATA